TGAGGATGGTCATTCCGGCTCGATTTAACGAAGGTCATACCCTCACTTCGGAATAATAGACCCATCTGTCACGACCACCTCGGCCTCACCTAGCATCGCGATGACCGAGGTATTCCTACCATCCCGCAGTCACCTCGGCACAGTGTTATGGTCAACCACAGCCGGGGTTCTAGCCAGGAAACCGAAGACTGAACAGTAGACATGACCCCTGACACTGTGTCCTCTCCTGACTCTGTCTACTGCTCTGACACTGCCCAGAGTGGTCCCGTCAAGGTGATATGTTGTCTCAATCAAATGTCTAGGGAAATGGATCCCACTATCCTTCCCTCCAAATTGTCTCCTATAAATAGCAGAATGTTCCACTGAGAAAGGGGATGAATCTCTGGTAACTAAAGCTTACTCTCTCTCACATAATTCTTTTATACCTCATTCCGAATTAACTTAATCTTCAGAGAAAAATTGGGGGACTTAGCCCCACATCTAACCATCTAAGCAGGTGATTCTGGTGTCCTACCTCTTCGAGCAAGGGTATACTCCAGCTTATCCGAAGCAATCCATCGGTCCAAAATCACCTCTTCAATTGGCACCGTCTGTGGGAAATCAAAGACATCAAAGGATGAAGCCTACGTGTTTTAGGAGTAGGAAGGTTCTCACTATTGGAGCTGAACCAAGTACTACAGCTCAACACGAAAATGTTTCTGGAGGACAAGGGTCTCCAGAGAATCAGCCTACAAACGAAGAAGCCATAGCCCGAATGACCAAGTTTGTATCTGATAACCCTAATATCTTTGAAGAATTAGTAAGATACTTCAAAAAGCAAGGCAAGTAAAAAGTTGAATCCTCTAAAAGAAAGTCGGATGAGTCTCCCGAACTCCCATCTGACGAGGAATCTGAAGGGAGACCCTCCATCAGGAGTACTCCGAAGCAAGTCTCCTCCAAAGCCACCTCGAGGATTGCTTCCATTTCTAAGGCATTCTCGAGGGGCCTGCTAGGGAAACGAGCTGAGGAAAAACCTCGGCATTCCGGGAGGCCGAAAGTAGATTACATGAGGGCTCCGCCTTTCACGTACGACATTAACGAGGAAAAGCCCCCCTCAAACTTTAAGTTGTCTGCCATACCATCTTATGACGGCCGAGGTGATTCGAAGGATCATATTCACGCATTCATCTCGGTATTCTGATTGTATTGTATTCTCTACCCAGTTATCTGTCGGATTTTTCTAGTATTTTTGCATGAGACAGCTCAAAAATGGTTCTGGGTCTGCAACCTAGGAGCATCTCCACTCTAGGAGAATTAGTGGACAAATTCCTCCACCAGTTTACTCTTCTAGGCCAACGATGAAGACCTCGGTTTATCTACTAAATATACAACAGAATTTGGGGGAGTTCCTCTACGCTTATGTGTAAAGGTTTCAAGATGAAAGCGTGTAGATATCTGATCCCAACAAATAGATAACCATAGCCGCCTTCACAATGGGCTTGTTGTCGAGGTATTCAACACCGCAATACACAAGAAATATCCTCGTACACTTCGGGAGCTCTGGAAAAAGGTCAAAAAAAGCATACAAGTCGAAAACCTAAACCGTATGAAAAGAGAAGCTCAGGTGGCTCGTTCGGGAACTAATTCCCAAAAAATGAAGGAATCAGGTTAAAATGAAACTGGCAACAGCGGTGGGTTCCAAAGCCCTAACTGAGACCGCCGAAGCGTGTTTGATAGAATAGCCAAGGGAAAGCCCTCCGTCCCTGATTCCGAGCTCACTCCCTTAAACACCAACCGATCTCATATCCTTGCCATCATGGAGCAGAATTATCTAGGCCATGCACCCCCAAGGATGGGTAGAAAGAGAGAGAAAAGAAACTCTAACCTTTACTGTGCCTACCACCGGGATTTTGGACACAAGATCGAAGATTGCAATGACCTGAAAAGAGACATTGAAAGCTTAATCAAGTGAGTATACCTAAAGTAGTTTGTTCACCGAGATGGAGACCGGAACCAGAGTGATGCCCGTCGTGATCGCCGAAGTGAACCACGCAGGGATGAAAGACGGGGATCAAGAAGTACCTGTCGACCCCCGCAAGATTCTAGGGAGCCGAAGAGGCCTCCCAGAGATGGGTCCCCTTGTGGTAGATTCTGTTATGGGCCAAACATAGCTTGGGTCATAAACACCATAGCTGGAGGTCCGACGGGAGGAGACAGCCAAAACTTCCGGAAGAGGACTTACAGGCAAGCTAATCCTGATTAGGTCGAGCCCAGCTCTCGTTTATCCGAGGTAATCACCTATGGACCTAGTGATCCCGTCCCTGCTGCTTCAAGCAGTCATGAAACCCTAGTGACAGAGGTGCTCACCAACAATTATATTGTCAAGAAGGTGTACGTCGACCCAGGGAGTTCAGTTGACGTCATGTACTTCCGAACCTTCGAGAGATTGAAATTGACTAAGGAACAGTTAACCCCAATCAGAACCCCCTCCTGTGGGGTTCGGAGGACACATGATGCATCCTGAAGGGATAGGCATGCTGATGGTGACTGTGGGACGTCACCACTATTGCCGTATCATCCCCGTCAACTTTGTCGTGGTTAAAGCTAACTCTCTTTACAACCTACTCATGGGCCGACCTACATTCAATGCCCTACTTGCGGTATATTCCACGTACCATTTGAGTTTCAAATTCCCAACCCCAGCGAGCATTACCGAAATGAGCAGCGATGTTTGTGCTGCGCGAGAATGTTACCTCGCCACTTTACAGGCCGCATCTCCCTCGATCTCCGAGTCAAGGGCTGAGAGGAGGTCGAGTATTCTTTTAATTAATTGCATTGATCCTCAACAGACCGAGAAACCAAAAAGGCCAGAGACCGGAGATCCGGTGACGGATATTTCTCTGGACCCAGCAAAACCAGAACAAACAGTCCGTGTCGACATCCACTTGCCTGAGCTTTTTAGAGTCCAGATGGTTAGCCTCCTAAAAGAGTATTGGGACATCTTCGCGTGGACTGCCGAGGAGGTTACAGGAGTGTCGCACCATCTCATGTTGCACGAGTTGAACGTGGACCCTCATGCACGCCCCGTTAAGCAAAAAAGAATGCACTTCGGCCCAAAATGTAGTTAAGCCATTGGCGAAGAGATGGATAAACTCTTGCCGGCAAAGATGATTAAGGAGGTGTAATATCCAACCTGGTTATCCAATCCCATCATGGTTAAAAAAGACACGGGGGCATGAAGGATGTGCATGGACATTACCGACCTAAACAAAGTATATCCTAAAGATTGCTATCTACTGCCTAGAGTTGATGCCTTGGTAGACTCAGCAATGAGATATGAGGTCCTCTGCTTCCTTGATGCCTTCAAAGAATATCACCAAATCAGGATGAATGAGGAAGATCAGGAGAAGACGGTCTTCTTCACAAATCAGGGTGTGTACTGTTATACCACCATGGCCTTTGGACTAAAAAATGCTGGGACCACATATCAGTGTCTGGTCAACCGCATCTTCAAATCTCAAATAGGCCAAAATGTAGAGGCATACGTGGATGACAAACTCGTGAAGAGCAAGAAGACCTCGGCCTTCTTATTCGATCTAAAAGAGGTCTTCGAAATCCTCTGTGATACTAGGATGATACTAAATCCCAAGAAATGCGTGTTCGGAGTTACTTCGAGAAAGTTCTTGGGGTACCTCGTATCACGACGGGGTATAGAAGCCAATCCTGACAAGGTGAAGGCAATTCAAGAAATGTCACCACCTCGATGTACTCGAGATGTGCAAAGATTAACAGGGTGATTGGCAGCCCTGAACCGATTTTTGTCGCAGTCTGCTTCTAAATCACTGCCCTTCTTCAAAATATTGGAGAAAGTTGATCAGTTTCCCTGGACGGGAGAGTGCCAACAAGCTTTTGAACAAATGAAAAAATACCTGCACCACCCCCCAACTCTTACCTCGCCTCGACCAGGGGACAAGTTATATTTGTACTTGTTTGCCGCCGATGAAGCGGTAAGTGCCGTGCTGATACCGGAGAAAAGTGTCCAGATGTCGATCTATTATGTTAGTCGGGTCCTTCGAGGGCCCGAAATCAGGTACACTCAGACAGAGAAGTTGGTGCTTGCCTTGATTCATGCAGCCCGAAAGTCGAAGCCTTATCTTTTGGCTCACCACGTCTGCTTAAAGGACAGATCAGCCCCTCAGGCAGATCTTATCATGCCCCGAAAACTTCTAGATGTCTTATCAAATGGGCCATCGAATTGGGAGAATATGATCTATCCTTCAAGTCTCGAACGGCCATCAAAATTGAGACTCTAGCTGACTTCTTAGCAGAGCTCACTTTCAACGAAGTGAAAATGTCCACCTCGGGCAATGTCGAGCCTCAGCAGTAGATCTTGCATGTAGACGACTCGTCTAATAGTGAGGGTAGTGGAGCAGGCTTGCTCCTCGAAGACCCGTAAAGGGATTTGTGTTTGTACGCTCTTCGATTTGACTTCACCGCTTATAATAATAAAGTTGAGTATGAAGCGATCATAGCCGGCCTGCAGTTAGCTCACAAACTCGGTGCCCGACGTATCCTGGTCAACAGTGACTCCCAACTCGTCGTGTGTCAGATATTTGGTGAGTACGAAACCAGAGAGGATGTCATGCAACGTTACCTCTCCCAGGTCCACCAATTAACTACACACTTCGAGTCATTTGAAATCCAAAGGATACATCGGTCGCAGAACAAACCGATCGACGCATTGTCCCACCTCGTCTCTACTTCTTTCTCCTCCTTGAACAAGACGGCCCTTGTCGAAATTCTCGTCGAGCCAGGTTATTTAGAAGAGATCGTGTGTCCCGTTCATCCTGAGGACACTTGGATGAGTCCACTAGTTTGGCTCCTCAGTCAAAGAGAGCTACCAGAGGACCGACCTGAGGCCAGAAAGTTTCAGCATAAGTCAGCTTGGTACGCTTTCCAAGACAATCTCTTGTACAAGAGATCCTACCTCGACTCATGGCTACAGTGTATCACACCGGAAGATGGGGAAAGAATTCTTCAAGACATACATGAGGGGTTCTGTGGTGCTCACGTTGGCTATCGGATGTTGGTCAAAAAGGCCCTACTGTTTGGGTACTTCTGGCCCACTATTTGATGAGTCGCTCAACTCCTAGTTTTCGGTTGTCCTTCTTGCCAGCATCATGCCCCAGAACACCATCAACTGACCAACCTGATGATCCCCATCACTTCGCCATGGCCATTCGAGCAATGGGGGACAGATATAATCGGCCCATTTCCTAGAGCCACTGGCAGTTTTGCCTATTTGGTGGTGGCAGTGGATTATTTCACAAAATGGGTCGAAGCCGAACCCCTAAGGAGCATAACTGGTTTAGCTGTCGAGAAGTTCTTTTGAAAGAGTATAGTTTGCCACTTTGGACTACCCCGAGTTGTTATCTCGGATAATGGAAAGCAGTTTGCCGATAACCCCTTCAAGGGGTGGTGCGAGAATCTGGGGATCAAACAATATTTCACCTCGGTGGGACATCCCCAGGCCAATGAGCAAGCTAAAAATTTCATTCGTAAGCTCCTCCATGGCCTGAAAACCAGGTTGCATCAAGCCGAATCATCGTGGGTGGATAAGCTTCCTAGTGTGCTGTGGTCCTATCGAACCATCCCAAGGTCCGCTACACAAGAAATCCTATTTTTCCTGACTTATGGGTCCGAAGCAGTGGTTCCCGCTGAATTCATCACTCCTAACCCTCGCATAGCAGCCTTTGCCGCCGAGGTCAATAAAGACGAGAGAAAAGTCGACCTCGACTTTGCCGAGGAGAAAAAAGATATCGCAGCAGCTAAAGTGGCATTGTATAAGAGTATCCTGGCTAGCTACTATAACGCGCGAGTTAGGCATCTTCGGTTCAATCCCAGAGAGTTAGTTTTGCGGAAGAATTTGGTTAGCCGAACTGAACCTCAAGAAAACTTAGCTCCCAGGTAAGAAGAACTGTATCACATCATTGAATCTAGCCGAAATGGTTACTGTAAACTAACTTACCGAAATAGTTCTTTAGTGCCCTGAACTTGGCATGCGGAGAATCTCAAGTTGTACCACCCATGAAAAGTATGTCTATTCAAGAACTATTCCATTATTTGTTCTCAAATTATTTATTGTTTCCTTAATACTGTTCTTTCCTAAGCAAAAAATAAGGGGACAAGGCAAGTACGAAAGAAGAAAACAGAGACAAGTGTAAAAAGAAGAAGTCATTGGCATTAAAAATAAGGGATTACAAAAAGCCGAGGTCATTGCCTCGCCGCTTTATTACAAAATGTCAAATGCAGGAATCTTCTATGCATTTTCTGCCTTGGTGCCCCCGACATCCTCAGTTTCACCAGCGCCGGTCGCTTCTCCTCCGACCTTATCCCCCCGGCTCATATCCATCTACATCGTACTCAGAAATTCACTGATTAAATTCTTCTCTAACCTCGGCCAGGTCTCTGTCGGCCTGGATACCTTCAGCTACGCAGTCGCACAATTCCTTGGCATCTTCATTAAATTTGAGCTTGTTCTTGAGGGACTCCAACTGTTCGGCAGAAAGGAAGGGCGCCGCGTCGTTGGCTGCCGAAGTGTATCCAAACATGAAACTCGGCAGTGTTAACTCGCCGAGATCACGAGTGAAGGCCTCGGACCTACGGAAGGCCTCCAGAGCCAAAGTGCCAGCCTTCTCTATTGCCTCCTTGGCTGATTGCTCTTCTTGGGCTCTTCTGTCTTTTTCTTCATCGAGGGCCATCCTCAAAGTGTTGTTTATGGTTTCGGCTTGCTCTCGTTCGGCCACTGCCTTATCACGTTCCTGTTTGGTGGCTTTCAGCTTTTCTTTTAGCTCGAAGATCTTCTTCTAGAGTTCGGAGGATGGCTGGTAGTGCTCGAGCAGATTAGTATAAAGCTAAGTCATCTCGGAAAAGAAGCCTGAGGCGGAGGCCATGCGACTGTGGCACTCTGCATCAGTTCGGCAAGCGTGAGATTCCTAACATAGGTATGGTCCCTAGGCAAGATGGAGTGCACCAAGAGCTCGTGTTCGACCCAGGGATCTTTGCAACGATCGTTCACGTTAAAATCCCACTCCGGGCACTACTGCCTATCGAAGTGTCTCTTGTCCTCTCCGACTTCTTAAGGTGGCACATGGTGGAGGTTCCATAAAGACGATCCCGAGACTGGAACCTCAGGAAGTATTGTTACCCCTTGACCCGGGGGTGGAGAGGCTATCATGACGCCTCGGATAGCCATCCCCATAGGAATGACCGATGTGTATGAAGTTTCGATCGGAACCATTGGAGTAGCTCAACTTGTGGTGGTGGTGGTGGTCCTCTTTTTCGGTTGAGCAGACGTCTGGGCAGCAGCTTTCCGTTTTGTTGGCCTTTTGTTTACTACGGCGGATTCCGAAGTAATCAGGTCGGATACCCTTGTCACTGCATAAGAAAAATGTAAGGTTACTTAGAATTAAACAAAAGTAAAAACAAAGCAATGAATGGAAAAATACAAGATTTTTGAAGCCTAGTAGAGAAGAAGGGTGTGCGATCCAGGCTGATTAAAACTCAGCTGATTCCGCCATTAACGAGGACAGCCTTGAGAAACACCCAGCTGTTTATTCTGAGGCCCGATCCTATCAATTTCTGAAAGTTCTCTTCTTCCAGGTCCCCAGGAGAGGTGTCTTTTGCCGAGGTAGGGGGCCTCTACAAGAATCTCCTCGGAAAGTCCTCGGCCGGGACAAATACGAAATTATGTTTCCACTCCTTTATTGAAGTAGAGGCATCTACTACCAACTTCGAGACCCTGTTCCCGAAGTAGAACCACCTCTTTTCACTTCCGCTGTTCTTGATAGTATAACAACAGCGGAAGAGATTGACCATCGGGACTATCTCTTGATGTCGGCGCAGCATCTCAAAACCGACCAGGACCTGGACTGCATTGGGGATGAGATGAATGATCCTCTCCCCCTAATATATGAGGTAGTCTCGGAAGAACTTAGAGGTCGGCATTTTGAGCCCAGCCTCCAGTTGATCCGTGTATATCGCCATCCTATCTTTCGAGGGCCGCTTTGCTGTTTAATTCAGTCTTAGTGGACGGATGCTGTATTCACCCCGGAAAGGGTATCTGAAGACCATCTCGGCTGTCAGGGATTCACCCATGATACTGTTGAACATGGGGACTTGGCCATAATCGACAGCCGACAGATCTAGAGGGGTGGCTAGTTCAAGCATCCCTCGTCATGTGGTACCTCTGTCCCGAGCTCGTCATTGTAGAGCACTTCAGATTCCTCTTGGCTCAGTGCTTGTGAAGTCCCGACCTCATAGCACACTTCGGCAGCTTTTTCCCCGGGTTAGACGAGGTCCCTTCCCTAGGATTGGACGAAGCTCCTTCCTCCTGAGTGGGATCGTGAACCTCTACCTCGGCGAAATTTGGCCTCACTGTCTCGTTGTGCGGGCGAGCTGTTCTAGCCAAAATCAAAGTGAAGGGAAGAAAAGTGGTGAACTTACTCTTGAAGGAGATCGGGATTTCGGGGTTTGCCGATGTGAGAATACTACAAAGGTTTGCTCTGAGGTGATTTGAGATTTTTGCAGTAAAAAGTGAAAGATGAAATGGATCCCATATTTATAGACCAGTAAGGTGAAGTTGAACAGGCGACACGTTTGGGATTCCCTAGGGAAACGTCATCTCTTCTCATTAATGAGTTACTATCAGTCTGACCGATGGTCTCATGTCCTTTCGGGAACCTATCATGAAAGCTGCCAACCGTCTCATCATTTCCTTCTTATCTACACGCATATGACGTGTCATTATTGCAAATTTGCATTTTGGAACCATTCGGAAGCCTCGGGAAGGAACGAGCTGTTTCCTTCTCCCGGAGACTTGGGGGCTAAGTGAGAATGGTCATTCCGGCTCGATTTAACCGAGGTCATACCCTCGCTTCGGAATAATAGACCCATCTGTCACGACCACCTCGGCCTCACCTAGCATCGCGACGACCGAGGTATTCCTACCATCCCGCAGTCACCTCGGCACAGTGTTATGGTCAACCATAGCCGGGGTTCTAGCAAAGAAACCGAAGACCGAACAGTAGACATGATCCCTGACACTGTATCCTGTCCTGACTCTGTCTACTGCTCTGACACTGCCCAGAGTGGTCCCGTCAAGGTGATACACTGTCTCAATCAAATGTCTAGGGAAATGGATCCCACTGTCCTTCCCTCCAAATTGTCTGTTATAAATAGCAGAATGTCCCGCTGAGAAAGGGGATGAATCTCTGGTAACTAAAGCTTACTCTCTTCCACATAATTCTTTTATACCTCACTCCGAACTAACTTAATCTTCGGAGAAAAATCGGGGGACTTAGCCCCACTTCTAACCATCTAAGCAGGTGATTTTAGTGTCCTACCTCTTCGAGCAAAGGTATACTCCAGCTTATCCGAGGCAATCCATCGGTCCAAAAATCACCTCTTCACCTTCCAAACACCCCGGCAGCCTTTGAGAAAAGTTTCCAGCCTAAGCCCGGCAGCTTAACATTTTAAAAAAATATATATATTCAAGCAGGTTGTTAGGCTAACAATCTTAACAGCCTTTTAGAAAAATTCCTAGCTGGCTGCTGAAAAAAAATTTTTGCTTGCCTATCAAGCTAATTAGCACGGTAGGCATAGTTCTATATCATTTTCCTGTGAAATCAATATTCATGATTTTTTTTCAACAATAAACAAAGGAATTAGTGGATATAACGCACTTATAAATAGTAGAAATGCATATTATTCTATCCTCTTTTTCAACACTTGATACAAAGGGAAAAAAATCGTGGCACAACAATTATTATTATTTTTTGTTTTCAATGCAATTCTTGATTTTTGATCTTTCTCTCTCTCTCTTAGTGTTTTGAAAATCAAATTGGACAAGCCGGTTCGATCAGTTGAACCGCGAACCAGCCATAGTACCGGTCTGGTTCTATACTAGAGTTGACTTTATCAGAAAATCGGTCAACCCCGTTAAAACCGGTGAACCGGCAATTTCCAGTTTTCAACATTCCCCTCTTTTTTTTTTTTTAAGTTTTGCAAAATACAGCTACCAAGGTTCAAACTACCTTTGTGATATAAGACAATGTAGTAACCATTGTACCACCACATTCTATTAGCCTTTTTTGATAACTTATTTATATAGAACAAACATCCATCTTTCTTTTCTCCATTTTTCTTACAAAATCTCATTCTCTCATGACTCTTTCTTTTTAATCTTCAACTCTAATATCGTTTTTCTTTGAATTTGTCTGTTTGTCTCTAAATCATTCAAGACATATAATATTTAAACATATCAATGTCCCTAACATAATAATACAAATTGTTGTACACTTAAGAATACAAATCCTGTTAAATTTTATCTCCATAACTACATTTTTTCAGATAGAGAAAAACATCCCTCTTATTTTACATGATAAGGGGAAAAAAAATTATTAGTGAAAATTAAACTATAAAAATATTACCAAAGTTCAATACATTTCAGCTTATACAATTGAAGTTGAAAGGAAAACTGCCGGACTTAGTCAAGTTGAAAAAAAAAAAACCTACCTAGCAAGTTGTGGGGCTGACAGCCCGTTAGCCTTTTACAAAAGTTGCCAACGTAAGTCAGTAGCCCAACATTGGCCGACAACCCGGCAGCATTTAGAAAAATTCCCAACTCTTGGCAGCCCAACATTTTAAAAAAAAATTTGCCTTGCCTAGCAGTCATAGTTCTATACCACTCTCGTATCAGGTTAATATTCTCGATTTTTTTCTGCAATAAACAAAAGAATTAGCTGAATATAATGTTCTTATAAATAGTAGAAATGCATATTATTCTATTCCCTCTTTCAATACTTAATATAAAGGGAAAAAATTGTGGCACAACAATTTTTGTTGTTTTGAATGCGATTTTTGATTTTTTATTTGTCTCTCTCTCTCTCTCTCTCTCGATATAATTAAGCT